GACAGAAAAAATCGTATTTCAAATTGCAAAGAGAAATTTCGAAATGAGGTGAAACGAACAGAGACCGCTGCTACAGCCCTAATAAGATAAAACTCCTTTTTACTCTTTGTTTACGCGTTTCAGCCTCCGGTGTACTTGCAGTTTGGAAGATAAGTTTCTTTTGAACATAGTTTTAAACACCATGAGGCTAATGTTATAAATTCATTCAACACATTTCACTGTTTCATGGAAAAGTTTGGTAAGAATATTTAGGCCATCTTGGCTATTTTCCATTCTCCATTCCGGTTTCGAAGACGTTCCCAGTGAACATATTTTATGCAGTCTGCTAGTTATTTTAAAAATTACAATACTTCCTACATATTCCCTAATTTTGTTTAGGAGGCTGGTAAAAAGTATTTTTTGTTTTATTCTACTTCAGAAAGAAAGTACTTTATGAATATTTTCTAAAAGTTCATTGTAATAAATTACAGACCGTCATTATAAGCTATTTATGGATGGTAAAAACACTTTCATTCTGTTTTATTTCCTCCCGTGTTAACAGTTTGGCAAATATAATAATCTCTAAGGGCTCTAAGTAAAACTAAAAATTCATGAATTTACTTTCAGGAAACAGACGAGGAAAAATAAACCATTTTGTTATTTCCAGTTCTTCTCTTCAACTTGCCGGAAGATGGAAATTATAGAATAAACTAGTACCACCGGGATTCAAACCGATTTAAATTGTCCTGGATTGATTACAATAAACTATCCAGTTAATAACACAACATAAAAATAGAGATCTTGAACATGTGGCGCTCTGTCGACTACTCACTCCAAGGTTCATCTGACTTTAAAGTCAAGTGAAGAAACAACACTCAAATTTATAAATGAAGTCAGGAGTCTAGCCCCTTACTGTTTGGTACTCCAATTAACAAAACCACTTCACACAAAAAAAACAATGAAAGAATCCAAAGTATGAAAATAATTACCGCAGGATAATTACTATGGAGGAGTGGAGATTACAAGAACACATCAAGATTACGGCTGAGGATTGTAGTCTCCTGAATTATGACACCGGGAATTCTTGTAGGTGTTTGCCAGCGTTTCGGAGGAACATACCGCATATACATGTTTCTTCTAATTGTCGGTAACCACATAAAATGAACAGCGTTCGTCATATGCCAGAAAATCACAACCCACATAGAAAATCTTAGAAAGTGTACAAATAGGGATATACCTGAAATGGCACTGGTACTTAAGCATACAATGTTATAACTGTTGACAACCGGGTTAAAAAGACAATGCAGCAGTTTTATACATTACTATAATCATTATTCTAAAAGACTACTATCAGATTTGCAGAGCTCAACAAGAAGGCTACTTCTTACCTCAAAGGCGTCTCCTTCGTCGAATGCAAGAAACAGTCTCTTTTGTGACTGCTTCAGGCAGAGAGTTGAAATTCCCGCCAGTGAATGTTCTGACTGCGAACTATGCCATGATGAGCTTGCACATTTATTAGACTTCTTCTCAACGTCTGCACTGCCCGTTTCTTTTGAAACGTTAGGCTCCGAGTTGCATTTTTCAAGTTTAGCACTCATAATAGGAGATCTTAACATTGCGTCTGATGCCATCTTGGCAAAACACTTATTGAGTTTCACCAGCTGATCTGTCGTAACTTTATTATTGTTTTCATGTACACTTCTAGTTGGACTAGGTGAGTTTGGAGTTGATTTTGTTGGCTGAATATCACAAACAAAACAATCTTCGAACCCTCGAAATGAATATTTTGCCTCATATACTTCACTCATTGTGACATCACAATCAATAATCACAGTCATAAAGGCGCTAAACAAAGACTTGTTTTCCAAGTGCTTAGTTTCGGCTTTTGGAACTTCGTGGTGTCTCATAATACTTTATGGAAAAACATTTTATCTACACTCACATCACATATTGACAAAACTATCAGATAAACTGCCTCTCCAATTTCACCGGTGAATCATTCTCGCACGTGAGAATAAAATGCGAGATTCGTCTACACCAGAGTCCTCTTGCGTGCTTAATCGGCAACTGAAATAAGACGATAGCCAATAAAACCTTGATCTGCGAACCCTAATGTCCCCATCACTGAGTTTGCAATCTAACCCCCTTCATTGAAAACGTCTGCCATCTGCTGCACATCAACACAACTAGCATGAGGTCTTCTTCTTCTTCTTTTTTAAATTACAGATCAATGTTGAAATTCACTGTGTCAGCCATTAATCAAATTGTTGCGCTTGTCCTTGTGGACTGGAACTGCCATCGAGTATTTCACCTACTATGTTTACATTTAACTTACCTTTGAGTCGATCAATAATTCTATGACTTTTAAACCGTAACTTGTTTCATGGCACGAATTCCGAACTCACATAGTTCTAAATATAAGTGCATTATTAGCCGTCGTTTCGTTCAGTGTAATTTCGTTCCCAGATCATATTCAAACATTAAATCTTTTTCTTTTTTAATTGTGTCTCTGCCTTTTTTTGTAAAGTGTAAGCTTTCTTTTCTCAAATTTTGACATCCATTTTCCTCTTTTCACTCTGACGATATGACTAGTATCAATCTCTCTACGAATGAAGAGGAATTTCGTAACTGCATGTACACTGTTGCTAATTATTAAAAATATTCAGTGCCAGCAAAAATTAATCTCCCCCTCCCACACTACGTAGACTATAAAAATAATACTGGAACAAATTAACAATCTTGTGTTTTATCAGAAGCGACCATCATTTTCCTCCTTTCCACTATTAACATTTATTAACATATGTTGGACAGATTCATCCAAGATAAAATGCAAAGGTTGCGTCCTTACCAAGTCGTCAATCATAGTTTTGATTAGGTAGACATACACACATACAGCAAGTCTTTTAAAACTACACATATAGTATGCACCAACAACAAATTTCCTCAATCTACTTTATTACAAATAAACTTTGATGCTTTCTTCAATATTTCTTGTTATATTATTGAATATCCCAACATACTTTCTTACAGAACATGACAAATGAAACACTTATGATGGTATGAGCTAAAACATGGTGTAATAAGGTACTTATAAACATTATGTGCGTATAGAGTGGCAGCAAAGCCAATAGCGAGACCTCTTAAGGAAAAACAAACAAACATTTAAAGCATTTTTGGTGATTTCAATTAATACAATTTTAATGATTTGAAAAGTACCTCTCTAGAACTGACTCAACTGTTTCATGCAATTCTTCCCTCTTTCAGCTGTAAATCCTAACATGAGTAATTACTGCATTAACAATACATTTCAATAGTGATAAAATGAGTGAAAACACATAATCAATATTCAGTCAGGAAAAGCATTTTATGGAAGGAATTTTGAAAATTGTCATTTACTCTCCATAGGCTGTAGCATAGTCATTAGATTGTTAATGTCCTTCTGCAGTTTGGACCTCTATATTATGCAAAATTATCTGAAATCAAATATAAACAATACATTTTTATTTTACCTCTCTGCCCAAATACCACCTACATATGCAATAAAAACATTCAGATGAATTCAGGATGATATGACAGGATTTGGAATCAGCTGACAGCAAAAATACAAGACAATGTAAAAGGAATGGGTCAAAGGGTTACCACCCTCACAAATTCATCCAATCACATTACTAAATATATTTATTACTGTTCTTAAATTCATGTATAATGGCCACATTTAAAAAATTCTTGAAGATTACAATCAAAATGTCCCAAACTATACTGGCACATTCATCGTTCTAACCAATAAACATAATAATAATAATAATTACATTTAAAATTCAGATAATCAAAAGTGGTGTTTAATTCTTGCCTTTGATTTCTGATACATAAAGTTCATGAAAAGAATGTTCATAAAAATATTAATATGTACCAGTATCTAAAAATGCACTTAATGGACTTCTCACATTGTCTAAGTTATTCTTTTTAAGTATCTAAGTTTATTTAAATATCATATATGAAATCCTTTATTGGCTGTGTGGTTTCACATTTTAAAAGTCTCAAAATATAAATAACTCTGTTTTATGGTGCAAAAGTAATATAACTATGAGCAATGGGAGCCATTACTAGTAGATATAAAAAACATGTAACCACACTGTCCTTTAAACAACAAAATAAACTGAATTAAGAACACTTTGGTGCATATTTTATCACCAGAGTGGCCAATCAATTCTATAAAACAAAATCACATCTGACAATGACTAGGTCTGACAATAATACTACTGTCATATACATATATATATATATATATATGTGTGTGTATTATTAATAATATAAATATTTAAATTTGGTTGAAAAACAGTGACAAGATATTTTATAACTGGTGTAGTTTGGTATCGCAGGTCACATTTCAAGTTGTAAGTAAAGTTGTAAAAACAGTCTTTCCTACAATATGAGTCCTATATTCAAAACTGTCTGTCATATGATCATTATTCTCCTTTAATGTTTCTATATTATCTTTGATGTACTTCACAATAAATTTAGAATTCAGTTTTCCTAGTTTACCATTCTCCATGCTGATATCTACTCAAGCACTTTTTCTTTTAATAAATTGCATGGTGACATATAGTTTATATCATTGTCATAAGCAATTATAATGTTGGTGATATTTCAGGTTCTCAATGTGGCGAGGTTTTAGACGACTGTCTTATGCAATGTTGCTCCATGTAGTCGGGTAGGAGTTTATCGATGATGTACCAGATTAAAAACACATCATCCTAGAAGACAGACATCTTCAATTATAATGTTGAGAGGAGACATCTCTCCCACTAAAGTATAACAACAAATACATTCAGAACATAGGGGCCAAATACCTAAATCAGAGAATGGAAAGTGTTAAATCCATACCACGTTGTGCAAAATAGGAAAGGAATAACTAAATCTGCAAACTAGTAAAATGCCCCTGTGCAGAGCATGGCAAGTACAAATATGTGGATATGATTATTAATTAAAATATATTCAAACAGATGCATGAAGTAAATGTGGGGTGTTCCATTTGCCAAACACAAGGGATAATTGACAGCTACACTATATCACTGGCCAGCCTGTCTTAAAATTTGTTTGTTTCATCTGAACTCAAATATTAACAAATATTGCACACACTACAAAATTAATCATAATGGCAATACCAAGGAGGCCACAATATAAAAGGTCATATTACCAGAAGAAGCCTGTTCACATCATTCTGGCTCATGTTGTAGGAAATGCACACTGATAATGTATCCCAGTTATAATAATCTTGTAGACATATACCCCACTTATAATGAATTGTTCTGAAATGAATTTATATTATATAGGTACCAATTTCATAGAGGTTAAGATGAGAGCAAATGGATGTGTAAATCACTGTTCATTACTACAGTGATCATTGTTTCACCTTCTTTCATTGTACAAAGTTAACAGAAACAAAACTTCATGGACTGGAAGGCATGACATATCACTGAGCTGCAAATGAAAGAATACAATATAGGCGAAGACTAAAAGCCTCTAATGATAAAAAAGATGCCTATTTATCAACAAACTTACAATATCATGCAGTATTTACATACATCCTATAGTATTAGCATTAGAATGGGTTACAATAATAAATTTATCTAGTCATTAATATCATGGTATAACCCCAGCTCCACTCTCCATGCTCTAGAGGTATGGGAATGATTAAGCTATGTATGTATGTATGGAATGATATGATGCTTATGGAATTATGTTTGTCTTTAATTATTGGAAGGAATTCTGGATTCAGGAATCAATATTACCCACATAATACACCACTTTCAACCTGTTCATACAACAGAAACACAATGACTGAAACTTTCATGTGACTTTTAACAAATATCATAGTTTGGAGCAGACATGAATAAAAGAATTCCCTTACTACTAAAAAAGCTGATAAAGGGAAAACATTAGTAATTCTACCATTAGAAACACATTCATTCATCCTGAAAATGGAAATTGCAGTAATTGCTAAAATGTAGGTTGACCTTCAAAATTTGACAAAGCTCATCCCCAAAAACTGAAGTCACACACTGAACACCAGCCATGGAAAGTAAAGGACATATGCTGCATACCACAGGTTTATGGCGTTCCTTTGTATCTAACGTTTTAGAATACAAAAATAAAAAGAGTATTTTATGAGGTTCACAAAGATACAAGAAAGGCTGGCTGAATACACTAATGAAACTATTACAGATGAAGTATTCACTTTTCAAAATTTCTCTGAAGTATCTAAGAGTCCTGAAAAAGCTACATCAATATGAATTAAAAGTAATTCTTTTAACTTCATAAATGCTAAATATAGGTTCTTGTCCCATACTTTTGCAATTTTTCTTTCCCAATTGATGCAATGGCTTTAAAATTTTGATATTTACAGTCACCAAAGTTGAGCTGCTAAAAGCAAAATGCAGAGATTTTGTTTAATTTACCTGCACACACATAAACACAAAAAATTGGATCCTGACACACAAACTAAAACTTGCTGTTTCTATTGACAGTAACATCACTCTTATAGTGTAAACTAGTTTGTTGTATTTATAACATATTAAAAGTTCATATTTAATTTGCAATAACCCTGCAAACTTGTAGAGAATGAAAATCTGAATTGAATGAAGACAAAGCAAATCACTCACATGACATAACGTGCTTCTGTTGTAAGGACTAAGGTGAAGGGTTTGTCGTGGGGTCCTCAGTAAAACACACAACTATAACTATGTATGCACGCATGTGCACATGCACACACACACACAGGGGCTGTAAAGAATCACCTTTTAGCTCTATGATACATAAGGCAAAGTTTTGCTTCATGTAATATCAATTAAATAATCAGTTCTTGCATCAAACATTGTCGAGTTCTATGTGTAAATCTTTCAGGACACAAATGAAGATCATCGCAATTAACAACACAGTCAATAAACCCATGAAAATACTACATTCCTTCATGCCATGGCCACATAATTACTAATCACTAAAATTATGCAAAATATTGTTGCAAAAGTTTTATTTAAATAACAATTTATGTAAGATTTGAGGTTTTCACAGCGGTGAGTATGAAGATTTCTGTCTTCTTGGTTGTTGCGATGTGTAGTCTGGTCAATGTTAACCAACGTTTCAGAGGTCATACTGCCTCCGACATCAGGGCGATAAATATGCCAATAAGTTTATAGGCATTTATTGGCACATTCATCGCCCTGATGACGGAGGTACTATGACCTCTGAAACATTGGTTAACATCGACCAGACTACACAGCGCAACAACCCAGAAGACAGAAATCTAAATTACAATTATCTGTGAATTTGCAATTGCAATTGTCTTACAAATGTATGTTCAATTTTGGCTTATCTCCAGCATCAGTAGTACCATTTGGGGTTTCAGTGTAGTAAGAACTTGCGATATGTACACCATGTAGATATCCTAGTACCTAAGCTGGTATATTGGAAACTTGGCAGTACACCACAGGTGAAGGTGAATGGCTAATTTCATGCTCCAGCTGTATCAATAAAATTAAATCACAGTACCTCTAGATAAAAGATTTTGTGGGTCAAAGGTAATTTTTTTTATATATATATATATGTGTGTGTGTGTGTGTGTGTGTGTATATATATATATACACACACACAATATACTTCATCCATGTCATACCATGTACCCATCATAATTATACAAACCAGACTATAATAAATGCCACAGTGGAATGCATCCTGATACCATGTCGTATGTATTTCTAAATAAGATGTTGCAACAATATCAGCATACTACATGTTAAGAACATGTTCTGCACTGACAGCTCTTCAAACGTGACCAACCTAATGCTCACTCCATATGTTAGTTCCAAATTCATTTCGTCTGAACCTGTCTTGTAACTTCACAAACACAATATACTAATATACTAAGAGTTACACAACTTTATGTGTACATTATGATTAGTCGTCTCTTTCACAGTAATGTGCTAATTCCATTAATGGCTGTCACTAAATGTATTCCATGACTTATAAAACACTGTGGGTATGTATGTGGAGAGCACTCAAAAAGCTTTCACAAACACTTGGTCAGGAGATAAGGCAGAATAAGTCAAAGTTCGAAACCATAACTTTCTTGACCTAATTCACACTGAAGTGAAGTTCCAAACACAATGTGCATGAACTCTGACAACACTTCATATTGAATATTTTGGCCCAAAATGTATTTGTACTTTCAGTCCATATTATCCAGTCATAGTGGCCTAAATGTACTTCTTAACATGAGCTGCATCAAGAAGACCCTCAGACAAAGTTTGTTTAGTCAGTCAGGTAAATATTTTGTTTGTACTTTTTCCTGACATAATGGCTGCTTTTAATAAAATGATTGTCAAAATCTAAAGGGATATTCAAACAGTTTCTCTATCAACAATTTATAAAGTGCCTGAATTGTGTTATTCTTTACAGAAGATATTTTCTAATTTGTTTCTATTTTTTTCTAATTTTTATAAATTCAACATTTTTACTATTCTTTAGAATCAGCCATGAATATTTTCTCAATATTTTTCACACACAGACAATTGCTACAGCTGAAATGTATTACATACATATTACTTGTGGAAAAGAATGTAAAAGTCCTTTCACATAAAATTAAGTTCTACTTTAGTTTAATGTTTCACATTCTGATTCATATTCAGATACTATTAATAATAAAGAGACAACGATAGATAGATATAATTTGGCATTGCTGAGGCTGTAAGTTGACCATCTGAACAGAAAAATGTTTCCAATGAAAATGTACTGTGTTCCTAGCTGGGGTGGAATAATACTACTACTTTCAGCCTAACAATTCATGAGTTTGATGACTGATACCGTTCATCTGCTTTTTTATTTATAAATTTCATGCAAAACTAATTCAAATATATATTTTTTAAATTAGTGTTAACATAGTATTTGTTTAAGCACTTTTGGGGATTTAAATGCTAGTAATCAAAGGGTTAAGTACTACTCCATAAAGGTGTAATTGGAAGCTGCAGTAAAGCTCTCTCTCCACACATCTCTGGACTCAGTAATAGATGGAAATGAGTTGTCAGCTACCTGCAAACTTATGACTTTACCAGTCATTATGTCTATTTGGTTTCAGTATTGCTTGTGGCTAAATAAACACATCAGACAGTCTCTAGAGGTTAAAGCAGTGAAAAGGTAAAAAAGCAACAGAATCTGGACTATCTCACTTCAGAAATGTTTGTGGAAACTTTCAAAAGACCATGTCAGATGATTCCGCTGCCCAACTAAACAAGCCCAAGTTTGTTGTTTACAATAAAAAAACAGACTCAAATATAATTCTAATAACAAACACAGTGTTTTCAATCCTACACACATTCAAGATTTCTGTAAACCTGAGCAATGGCTAAAAATTTAAACTTTTTTAACTACTGGTACATGATGTAAATACATATTTATTCTAGACAGACCAATATATGTAAACTGTTATAAATATGATATGCAGTTTACAGTACTCATGAATTAATCAAATCCTTTTCAAAGATGTGCTTAAATTTTGTTTATGAATGCACATCTGGTGTACTACTGACTGCCGGGTGCATGTCTCCTAGTTCAGGAAAGTACACACATCACTCTGAAGCAAAGATCATTCTCTTCAGGTTATTATAATTTAAACAGTTCAAGATTTTGAAACACACTTCACATTTTGTGCATAGTTATTTTATTTCTTAAAAAGTAGAAAGAATAAAATTTCTTACTTCACTGTGCAAGTTCATTTACTTTGAATAAAATGTCACATCCAAAGGCAGAAATCTCAGATATTTTCTGCTGTACCATTGTCTAAGATGTTTATTACATAGCAAAGAAAACCACATCTCAATTAAGTAAAGTAATGTGCTGATTATCTCCTATTCTAAGTTCACTGTGCAAACATGTGTCCTTCCACTGTAACTCATCTTCACCAAGCCATGGTTCCTTCTGTACTCTATTGCAGTCTTGAGTTCATGACTAGTGCAGATCGGACTGCTGTCACTCAACAACGGAACATCCAGAATCAAACACAACACTTGTATGGCAGAAGCAGACCATTTTCCACTGAACTAATATTAACAGACAGACTTGGAGCAAAGGAGTCATCATGGACACAAGAGCAGAGGTACGGCACCTATCCCAATCTCAAGTCATTTCCTCAAACCTTGCGCTCATGAAGGACTGTCTCCCATAGCAGAATTCTGTGTTTGAAGTCTTGGAACTGAATAGTTTTCCACAGTGCTACCAGGGCTGCCACCATGTGATGAGACCCCAAAACTGTTTTCTACCATAATAGATGAAGAACACTTGACCTGGTCTAGTGTTCCATTTGGAGTCTTGACAGTGGAATCAGGAAGGGAATTGGGCATAGTCAGTGCTGCAGGAAGAGAGGAAGGAGGATTGAATATAGCTTTGGGTGGTATTGGAGGAGGGGTTGGGAAAGACTGAGTACGGGGAGAAATAGTTGGAGGGGAAATGTTCATGATGTTGGTGTTATCTCCACTCCCCATCCGGCGGTGTGTGGGGAGATCAAAGTCTTCATAAGACAAGTTGTTAAAATTGTTGCTGATACTACTGCTTGGTGTCTGAGAGAACTCTGAGTAGCCTGAATCACGCAAGTCATGGCCATCACTGTTTGACTCTGGAAACTCTGATGTGGATGACTCCAGGCTGATATCAACCACTGAGTCAATGCTGAAGACCCCTGATGATCCCTTCAAATAATAAGAGCATCTTATAGTTGCACTGATTCTTAAAAGTAACATTTCTCAGGACCAACATGGAATTTAGTACTTCTTACACTAGTACTAAAATGAAACTATGTATATATTGATATTTAATAAAGAGGTAATGTGGATGAAAAGAGCAGGGCATAATCATAATAACATCACAAAAACATGCTGTTTCTTTAGCATCTGTAGTGGCCATCTAAAGAGTCCATTCCTATTTCCTCATTAAAAAAACTTGATGGGATATCACATATAATACAATTGCAATATTATGAACAAAATTTGTTTTGTGCATATGAAATCAAGAAAACATAGCAACTGAAAATGGTCATGTCTAAACTTCACCTACTTACCTTCTTCACTAGACGTTTGGGAGGAGCTGGTGGTGTTTGACTGGTATCGATGAACAAGCCTGTGTTCCGCTTGTCAGGTGCTAAACACAAAACACAGAGAACATAATTTAATGTTTGAAAACATTCCTATATGAAAAGTATACAGCATGTCTATTAAATTAAATGTATCCATGTTTACAGAGGCTTTTCAATAATAAATAGGAAAATACTAATTTCTCATAAATTTCAATAACTGGTCTAACTGCATGTGTAACATCTGTAATTTTATTTACAAATTTAATAAAATGGTGTTATGAAGTTAAACTAAGTGTTCAAAGGCACAAACTGAATATGTTTTGGAATCTGTAGTGGTGGAAATTATACAGAGAAGTATGAAATATACAACCTACATAATGTAAAAATGTCTTAGGTAGAAGAATAAGCGGAACTGTTACCTCACCATACAGACTGAAACATTTTAAGACAAGCAGATATTATATATTCTGAACAGAAATTCTTGTTTTAAAAAATCAAGCCATATTAGCAGACAGAGGAAGAAGATAATGGCAAGAAAACAATAATTAAAATAAATTACAAAAATTGTTTCATGTCAGTTTTGGTAAAAATTTTATATTGAAAAATAATGTAAACTACATACTCCAGCCCAATCAATTTATAGTATTAGGCAACAAGTTATACAACATGTCTATGGGAACAAGCTATGGTATTTTCAAGGGCCACATGTACTAATTTCTATTCTCAAGTAGGCAATCAAGCACAGGGACATGACACTCACTTTGCCCTCTAGGAGGAAGCGGTGGAGCCTCCTCCACACTAGACTCAGACCAAGAGTTGCGTAACTGCAATCCATCTGGTGGACTACCAGTACTGATTATTCCAGATGAGTTGTTAGGGAAGGAGAATGGTTTGCTGTGGGATCGCTGATGTGTGGGTTTGGGTGGCCTAGGGACTGGGCTACCATCAGAATCGAGACACTCGCTGTAACAGAACAAAATGCAACTTAACAATACATGAAAAATAAAGGTTCAGTCAAACAAAACTGGGCCAAGGTACAATCTACAAAACTCTTAGTGTCATTCTCGAGAAGTAATAGTTGCTCATCTCTTGAAGACATTCTATGCTCTTATGGAGCTAGATGAGTCCAGTTCACACTCTCACATCATATCATGTAATGATCCATTTTAATATTATTCTCCCATGTGTTCTCTTGCCCTAAGGTTTTCAGAATAAAGTGCTGTATGTACTTGGCATCTCAGCCATGTCAGCTACATGCCCTTTCAATTTCCTTCTCTTAGGTTTAATCACCCTTACATATTAAATAAAGAGTAAAATTATGAAGCTCCCCATTACATACTTCTCCCATCCTCCAATCACCTCCTCTCTCTTGTTCTCATATACCCTCAATCTGCATTTTTTGCTTCAGATGGGAGACATATTTTCATATTCATATATAGCAAGTGGTAACATTACAGTATTGCATATTTTAATCTTTAAGTTTTAGATAAAAGACAAGAAGACAAAATATTCTGAACTAAACAGTGGAAAGAACTTCTTGAATTCAATCTGCTCTTAACTTCACCACAAATTCAATACATATTTTACATTTGCATGATTCAGCTGTAAAACAGGACTGTACCATTCAAAACAGGACGTATGGTAACCAAAAACATACAAGGCTTTCAATAAGTGGCCTGCAGGCTAAATCAGGTCCATATATAGCATGTTGACAAACAACAAAATTATCCAGGCACACCAAAAAATAATATTAACGATGGTTATGAAGGCTATGTTTGCCAATCAGATTTATATAATGTAATTCATGACCATACTGTACCTTCTTCTGGGATATGACATGAAGAGACTGTCAGAAATAGCAGAAAACTACTATACATACATGTGCGTAACACACACAGAAAACTGAAATCACAAAAGCCTCAAACATAAATCACTACCCACGGTACAAAGAATCTACTTGCCGTGATGATCGCATGACAGGCAGGGAAGAGTAGTCATTTCCTCCTCGTGTAGGTGTCCTGGCCAATGTGTCAGTGTTGGAAGACATCGTGTAACCTGCAGATCGTGGTCTAGTCTCTCTCTGTGGGATTGGTGGAGGAGGGGGCAGAGTAAGGGACTCTCTGTGACTACTTGGGTAATGCACGCTTCCATTCATCCGTTCCAGTAGCTCCTTCACACAAGACACGTTACATCACAGCAAAATGACCCATAGCAGACATCACAATAGTTATGGCAGAACATAAGCACGCCACAATCCACAATGCTTAATAATACATACGGGAAAAGGCACACTGTGAAACTGCAGCTAGACTAAATAAACAAGAGTATTAAATCCAGCTGCACAACATAATGGTGAGGCAAACTACTGCCTTAAATTTAAATTTCAATGAACTGAAATAATCCTCAGTTTAACTTTAACATTATCAAAATATTTTTGTTACACAGAAGGAAAACTGGGGTCAGTTTTTATCCTCGTTTATGTTTAATGGTTGGACTTAATTTCACACACATTAATGCATCTTGCATGTATTGTTTTAATATTAACCTTCGTGAACTTTATATACACATCTTGTAGCAAAGCAATGAACTCAACACAGTACTATTATAAAAAATAGAAACATTTGAAAATACTAATGCATTAACAATTAATAAAACTTATACATTGCACATAATACCAGAATTAGAGAAGGCATATTTAAATTAACAAAGAAATAAATTATATACAAAATTTAGAAATTAAATACACTTATCTTCATCATTAAATCTCTTTTCAAAATGTACTTTAATCAAAGCGCATTTTCATGGAGGGTTTTAATCTGCAATATTCTGTGCCCAGAACACAGAAGTGCCATCACACTACTGTATTACAAACGTTTTCTCTTCTTACCCCATTTGACAAGCAATAGTACAGTTACCATTGGTTTGCTGTAGATGTCTTCATCATCAGTACCCTGCTCCTCTGTGCTAAGGAGATGTCCATATGCACTGGTGCTAGATGCTGATGATCTGTTACTTGGGGTTTCACTACTACATGCTGCTACTGGCTTCTTCTCAGTAGGCAAAGGAGGCAATGGTGTGCTGCAAAATAAGATGTGCAGTTCGTTTTACATGTTATTTACGCTTTAGCATAAGCAAAGAAAATACCTCATGGGCCCATCCCTGCCTGTCTGTCTGTTGCATCTTTAAGCTAGCCCCACTGAGGCCATGCCTAGGAACTAGGCAACTCCAAGTGATTCCTCAAAGGCCAAAGTGATCCCTGGGGCTTGCACTCCTGGGGTTTACAAACTCTTGGGCACAGAGCGGGTTTTACTAGAACTACTACTGAATAATCTGCTTCATCTGAGTGTATAACTGGAAAACACATTTTTACAACTACATAAATGACATAAGCAGCATAGTCAATGATTTTCACTTTCAATCAGCATTGCTTTCACACAACAAATTATCAGTTAAGTCCCACTTCTTACACTATCTCTGAAGTGTCCACTGATGTTGACACTTGTCTCTGAACTATGTGTCTTGAATAGAAAATAGTAATTTTCAGATTCATTATGTGTACCCAAGTCACTGCACAGTTAATGAAAATAATTATAATTGATGAACAATTAAGAATGCTACACAACAGAATTAAACTTCCAGTCAAATTGTAAATTCATTAAGTAAATGTGTCTGGGAAACATGTCATGAGGGAGTATGGGGAAGTGATGGTAAAGCTCCTTGCATTCCAGTCCTTGGCACTAGTATTA